AAAAAAATCTTTTAGTATTAGAGAATGTACTGTGATCTTCTGGAGAAAGATTATATTTATATAATCAGTTTAGAGATATGCACTTGTGCTTCTGACAAACTTGTTTTAGACAGGATCAGGCTCGTGCTAGGAAAGTTTTATCGTTGGACCCTTCTTTTGGTTGGGAAGTAACAGTTAACACTGTGGTGGCTTGTATAGGGGGAAGAGGCACTATCTCAAGCTCACCAGTACGAGTTGATGATCTTGCAGAAAGCCAGCTCACAGCACATTTTCAGATTGCTCTGATGGTCTATGAGTTCACTAGATGAGCATTTGCTGGGGTCCACTTCACAGTTTTCATCTGACTCATATAGAGCTTTGATGAATTCCCCTGTTTGAAGGAGACAATGAAAGACAGTACAACTATAAATAGTGTCTTTTAGGACTAGAATAAAGGGATTCAGGATTTCTACCCTAATGTATATAATGAATCCTTTTCTGAGCCCTGAATTGGAGGCCATAGCATACAAAGGATTATTGCTTTGGAATCTAAGGATTACTATATCCCACACATTTCCCTTGCACTGGAAGTAGAATAATAGCAATCATTAACATCACCATCATCATAGCATTTTTTGCATAATAGTGATACTGCAGTAAACAAGGTAGTTTTTTTTTCCCATTTGAACTTGCAGGTATATTTAGTTAACACTAACTTGTTATTTCTTACAAAGGCCCCTCTATAGCATAATTGATGTCATTAAAAATCCACTGCCAGCAAATTTATTCCAACTCATAGCAACCATATCATATCTATGGTTTCCCAGGCGATGAATATTTATAGGAACATATAGTCTTACCTTGCTGCTGCAGACTGGGGCTGGTGAGTTTGAACTGCTAACCTTGAGTTTAGCAGTCTGCTTACGAGACTGCCACCAGGAATTGTCATTATTCAAAAAAGTAACCCACACTTACTGCCATCAAGTCAATTCTTGCTCACAGTGACAGTATAGGACAGAGTACTGTTCCTTTGGGTACCTGAGCCTGTACATTTTTACTAGAGCAGAAAAGCTTCATCTTTCTCCTGTGGAGTAGCAGCTAGTGGATTCGAATTGTTAGCCTTGTGCTTAGTAGCTCAACACGTAAACACTATGCCACTGGGGCTCCTTTTGTCATTATTAGAGAAGAACTAACTTAAGCCTGACTGAACAGCCCATCTAAGGTCTTTTCCTTTTTAAAAAAAATCATTTTAGGCCTGTCTGGATAGGACAGGCTGGA